TATTTAATTTTTAATGTTAGATTTTATATAGATTTTTATAATAGTACATATGTGTATATGGAAAGTAATATGAATATAATTTATACATATAATATGAATGTAATTTTTATAATAATAAAGTAATTTATACATAAATATCTATTTATTTCATGTTTTAAATTTTATTTCAAAAAACTTTATTCATTATAATTTATTATAATTCATTATAATATATTATAAAGTATTTATAGAACTTGTCAATAAGTTAATTTCATTTTTTATAAAATGAAGCAAATAATTTCTTTAATATTTACATAGAAATAAAAAAATAAAAGTATCATCTTGTAGGAAATATCTATTTAAATATTTGCAGAATGTATATAATGTATGAAATGAAATATCTTTTTAAAATTATTTAATATCAATAAAAAAAATTTTACGTAAATAGATATTATTTCGTTTATTTATTATAATAAAATCTATATTTATATAAATATTCAAAATATAGTATAAAATATAGTATACTTTTATTAATTATTATTTCAATAATACTTAGTTTCTCATTTTTTATTTATTATTATTATCTTCTATTTGGAAATTATTTGTTTTATATTATATATATAAAATAATATACTTATATTATATTATATTTCAAGATAATATTAATACAAATTTTAATATTTATTATGGTTACCATAGCTACATTCTTATTTACAATTCAGACAATTTATACAAGATATATATTTAACATATATTTATTTCAATGAAGGTAATGTACTTAAAAACTAATAGTTTTTTTTCATATATTTCACAATAAAATTAATATAAATATGTATACAAATTAATATAATATACAGATAATATAAATTAATATAAATATATATACAAAATAAATGTCAATTAATGAATAATATAAATGACAAATTTTATATATGTAACTTATTTTTTTCTAATTCTATGCGCATTATTTTAATATTTTTATAAATTTAAGTATATTGATGAATTATTCAATATATATATAATTTTTATTTATATATTATATATTTATAGTATCTTATAAAACTCTATAAATAAATATATATTATTTATAGTATTTATAATATCTTACTTAAAAATGTATATAGAAACAAATGATTTTTATCTTGTATCAAATTAATAAAATTTAATGTTTTCTAGAATTAAATGATTATTAATATGAAACAAAGTAGAATTAAATAATAAAATTATATTTTATGAAAATTATAATTTATGAAATAATTAAAAAGTGAAATTTATTATTTTTGCATAAATTTTATATTAAACTTTGAACTTGTAATAATAAATTTTATGTATTTATGTATAAAAAATATGTGTATAAAAAATATGTATAAAAAAAATCACTTATAAAATGATAAAAATAAAAAAAAAAAGAAAATGACTTTTAAATATCATTGAAATCTAATTAATAATTAATTAATTAATTATATATGAACAAAAATTATATTATATATTCAAGTAAAAAATAAACATTTTA